TGCTACAACGACAAAGATGCGTGCATCTTTTGGCCGACGTGCAAAACCACGGCTAGCGGTGAAGAGTGCTCGATGAATAAGTAGCGACGGCGATGGACGTCGGTCGAAAGCGTCATTTTGGTTCTTTTTTTGGCACTTGGGTAAACGAACGGCGGCGGTGACGATGACGAAGAGATGTTGGTAGGCGAATTATGAACCCTGCTGCTCTATGCCGGACACTTGACCTTCGAAAAACTTCTGCAAGTTTTGTCAATCATGAATTTATACCGATACAAACACCTGGGACAGGAATCAATCATTTTTGTTCTGAATGTTTTAGTAAAATGTTGCATATATCGTCGTAATCTCACTGCATATCTGAACAGATTTTTTTTTGATTTTTCAGCTTCAGTAAATCACCTTCAAAAATATCGCGTTCATTACGAAATACCCAACGATGCATTGATCGAATGACCCTGATGACATGGAATTCAAAGATGGTAGTATCATATAAAAGAAGACGGTTGGCATACTAAACATCCTGAAAATTGTCTTATGTATATTGTATTATTTATTTATTGAATATTTTTTATATGTGGTGGTGTGTTTGTTGACCAGATCACAGTTATTTACATAAGCAGAAAGTAATTTTTTGTGATGTATTTGCAGCTGTTTAACAGTTTTGCTACAAGGCACCGATTGCTGCATCGTAGATAGAACAGTTCTTCGCCGAAAGTAGATCTGGCTCTGCTTGGTTCCTTCAGGTTGCACGTTGGCGTCCTGGTAAACGACTACCTTTTTTTCGGCTACCTCAGGAGAAACTCACGGGCTGAAGTAAACGCTTTAGTAACCACTCTAACAGTAACAGCGCGTTTGTCGTAATCTCCACATGTGATGAAATCATTGCAATGGAATCGAGTTATTTCTTACGTAGTCGTGCCATCTAATGTTTCATTAGTGTGTGCAGACTGACACCGTCCAACCGTCGTTCTTGATCATTCGTAAAAGAGGAGCTGTCGTTAAACAACACTTGCTTCTCGAAGGCAAACTGCATGAAAATTTTTGTGAAAATGGTTCCTTTCAGTGTCCAAATGTTGAATAATTTACGAGCAGTAATGGCATCCTTCTATTTAACTGTAATTGGACAGTGCCTTCATTGGATATGATGAAGCTAAAGTACTAAAATTTGTCACCCACCTGGAAATCAGTTGTTCCTAGCGGTTCGTCATTATTTCTCTCTTCCAGTCGTCAGCTGGGGACAAGAACTTGCACTTTCAAATCCGATTTTTCGCAGTTATGCGTAATGTGAATCTCTGAATGGATTCGAAAGTTAGCGTATGGGTCTTAAAGAAGTTTGATAAAATATAACTCTGTTGTTTTTGGGGAGCTTAAATAATTTGTTGTTATTCGGCATTCAGTTTCGTAAACGTATCGGAACAAAATGTCCGGTATTTCGGTTGTGGCATGTGAAGGAATGACAGTTGTCTTGAGCAAACGTGCTGTTTTGACTCCCAGAAAACGATCGAGTGCAAAGCTAAGAACGACGTTAAAAATGTTATATCACGTGCTGAACACAAGTAAAGATTCATGCCAGTACGGTCCTTCTAGAATAAAATATGTGACGTGAATTGCACATCTTGTTGCTCTCTACCCTTTAAACAAACCAGCTGGAACGATATTATCCGAAATAGTTGCTAAAATATGGTAGTATATCTGACTCAAAAGTTTAAGAGTAATCCATCGTTTTTCTCTTCTAGTTCCCAGGAGATCGATCGATGAAGGCATCATCTTCATTTTTCTAAACTGTCATGGAGCCATGGTCTGCTTGCATGGTCCTTAAGCAATTACGAACAAAAGGTCGGTGTAACTGGTGGCGGA